AGTCTGGGACAGTAGTCACCTTGCCAGCTTTGAGTTTTACTGGAAGAGGCCCGGGGTTGTGGCTTGAAATAAAGACCAGTGCTCTTTTTCTCCTTCCCCTTATGTGGAAGGCATCTCTCTCCACACTGTGATGTCTGGGATTGCGGGGGGGGGGTTTATGTGGGGCAATGTAAAACATCCCTTCCCATCTTCTTCAATGATTCTTTTCTTATTTCTATGCTGTATTTGAATGCTATAATCTCTCACCTTATTCTTGGGAACATATTTTATGTGCAGATAATTATTCAGGTTGATGTTTTTAAGGGAGGAAAAGGACTAAAAAGACCTATTCTGCTATCTTGCTGTCATCTTGACTTTCTATTGAATTTTGAATGTTAAAACAACCTGTGTCTTTGGCATTATTTTTTCTTTATTTATTAGTGTGATCTTATATAGTGCTGGGTTTAATTTGTTAGTATTTTATTAGGCATTTTTACATTAATCTTCATGAGAGATGGTCTTCAGTATTTTGTTTTCTTGTAATACTTTATTTGGGCTTGATACAAAGGAAGTCCTATATTGTTCTTTTATCTTTTTTATTTTACTGAGTTATATTATCACTTATGATGGATATGTTACTTTTCAGTCACCAGAAAAACATTGTCTAATGGTTATATTTTATTTATTTATTTATTTACAGTAATTGGGCTTAAACTCAGGGTATACACTTTGAATCACTCCATCAGTCCCTTTTAGTGAAGGATTTTTTCAAGATAGGGTCTCATGAACTATTTACCCCAGCTGGCTTCAAACTGCGATTCTCTTAACCTCTGCTCCCTGAGTAGCTAGGATTACAGGTGTGAGCCACCAGGGCCTGAATAACGATTATATTTTAATCACTGACTTTAGATACTTAGTTTCTATAGGCAAGAGTTACTATAATATAGTGTAGATTTGATTCAAAAAGAAATTCTCTTCTCTTCACCAACAGAACCCTTCATCAGAGCTCAAGGCTTGAATAACCTGCATAAACTTAGGAACAGATCCAACAGGGCTTTATTCTCTGGAAATCGCAATTCAAATGTAGAACATAATGATGCTGAAGCCCTCTGTGTTCCGCCCTATGTATCTCAGTGAACAAATCAGCCAGCTTCAAATAGCTCACTACTGAATTAAAGAAAATGTATCTGGGATTTTTGGGAAAAGATATCCTTTAACAAAGGAAATTTTATTTTAATTTTTATAACATGTATATTATAAATGCAAAATATAGTATTCCTAGGTAAACAGGAGAATTAATAAGAAAATTTTATAAAAGAAAGAAACATAATCCACAAATCAGATACAAACTAATTAATATGCTTAGATATCATCATTGAAACAATTGCTTAAATGGAACTCTCTACTTTGATGGTGTCATTGTTAAAGCCAGTTGATTGACTTGGCGGGCAATTTATTACTTCATCTTCCAGACTTAAATTAACGTTGGTTGGGTTCTTCTTTTTTGCAACCTTGAAAGAGAGATAAGAAAGACACAATGAGATTCCAACAATTGAGATAACACTTTGTTTATATTTCTTCTGTTAGCCATCCTTGCCTGTTCCTCTCAAGGACCACATCAGTCCTTCTCCCTCTCAAAGGCTGTTCATTTTTCTCTCTTTCATTTCCTTTATTGTATTATTTTATTTTTAATCATCCCTACACATAATATGGTCTGAAAAGAGTTATTTCTTCATGTCCAGAATGGAATTATTTGAACTGGTCAGGAGGTTCCAAGGATGGTGAGGGAGAATTGTAAGCAAAAAGAAAGGACTCTATGATCCAGTGTAATACACTGATTGGAGCAGAAAAGTGAAAGGAGGCAACATAAAGTATTGCTTTTGCTCAGTGCTATCACTCTGGTTTAACATATAGCTATAAACACATGGATTCTGCCATGAAGGAATCTAAGAAGTAAAATCTAATGTGCTTACATGTCTCTGAATCAGAATATAACAGTATTTCTGTTTGTAGTATTTATATTTAAGTTTAGCTTTGATTTTTTTTTTAATCATGAATTCCATGGTAGTCCTTTGTGTGAGTTGCATAGGAATGTGTTTCTTCTGGTATGAGACAATGTGATATCATGTAGAGTAAACCAAGTTTTTGTCTTGTGGTCTGGGACATGCATTTCACTAAAGGGTGACATCTTTTGCTCTAAGATGCAGTCATTTCAAGACACTGAAATTTCCTTGGGCATTTGTGTCTGATATGAGCTATGTTGACCCTCTTCCTTCACTTTTTTTGATGCCTATTACACACATTTTTCATTTTACCTTTGACCTCTCTGTTTGCACTTTTTCATTCTTATTCATAGTATCCATTACTATGAATACTACTCTTAAATATATCTCAGTCTTTTCCATGACTCCATCTCATGGTCTGATCTTCTCATTCATCTTTCCCAAGAATCTCCACTCTGGAGACAGAAAGCCTAGGATGGATTTTAGTCCTATGGTTATTGACTATATTACTTATAGTTTCTGAGCACTAGAATCTGTAACTATGAAATGGAAATAATTATTGTTGTTCCATCACTGTTTCAAATACTAGCACATGAAGAATATTCAGTAAATGTTTTCTATCACTATAAATAAATGCTATATAATATTATTTGTTTTAGGTAGTATCATCCAAACCTATGACTTTATCATGCATCTTTAAACTTAAGAATGCTGTATCCTCATACAAAATTAGTTTTCATTCCTGATTGGTAAAACCAGAGCTATTTATCTCCATATAGATGGATAGACATTTCTTGGTATCCTATAGCCTGACTATGTTTTTATTCCCTAGATCATGTTCTTCTCCTGCATTCTCAATGTTTGTGAAGAGCAGCATCATTTATTTCATGAAAATTTATTTCATTGTTTTTATTTCTGAATCATCCTTGAATGTTCCTGAACCTTTTCTCTTTCTCACCACCATCATCAAATTAGTCACAAAGTCATAAAGCTAGATCCTTCTTTAAAAAATTTCCTCCATGAATGGCGGAGTAAACAATGTTGAAATACTTCACATCTGCACAGGTAGAGGGCATAGTAATATGTACTGACAGCTGTTGAATAATGAGGGGTGAGAGGGAAGGGGAAAGGGAGAATAACATAGGGGGTTGAACTAACCAAAGTAAAGCATATTCACAGCTGAGAAACCACTTGGAACATTGGTTTTGGAATTAATAATGACAGACAGGAATGTAAAATGGGTACGGTATATGTGTGTGTGGGATAATTGTGGTAAAGAGAAGGGGAATAAAGAAGATGAATGAATATGCTTTACTTTGGTTAGTTCAACCCCCTATGTTATTCTCCCTTTCCCCTTCCCTCTCACCCCTCATTATTCAACAGCTGTCAGTACATATTACTATGCCCTCTACCTGTGCAGATGTGAAGTATTTCAACATTGTTTACTCCGCCATTCATGGAGGAAATTTTTTAAAGAAGGATCTAGCTTTATGACTTTGTGACTAATTTGATGATGGTGGTGAGAAAGAGAAAAGGTTCAGGAACATTCAAGGATGATTCAGAAATAAAAACAATGAAATAAATTTTCATGAAATAAATGATGCTGCTCTTCACAAACATTGAGAATGCAGGAGAAGAACATGATCTAGGGAATAAAAACATAGTCAGGCTATAGGATACCAAGAAATGTCTATCCATCTATATGGAGATAAATAGCTCTGGTTTTACCAATCAGGAATGAAAACTAATTTTGTATGAGGATACAGCATTCTTAAGTTTAAAGATGCATGATAAAGTCATAGGTTTGGATGATACTACCTAAAACAAATAATATTATATAGCATTTATTTATAGTGATAGAAAACATTTACTGAATATTCTTCATGTGCTAGTATTTGAAACAGTGATGGAACAACAATAATTATTTCCATTTCATAGTTACAGATTCTAGTGCTCAGATACATAAAGGAAATGGAACAATGAAAAAAATTTCCTTCATTAATCAATCAAAACCCCGTTTGTCTTTCCCCTTCTTAAATAGAATTCTGAAATGGTCTTGTGTGGTACCTTGCAAAACTAGCTGGCTGATTTTGTTTAAAGTCCTGATTGACAGTGTTAGCAGATTTGGATGGTGTAAATATTTCTCTCATTGTTAATTTCAGTTTCAAAGTTTTAATAAACAGCTCATAAAATTCATGAACATTTAACAAAAATACCTGGTGTATGAGAAGATACTGCCACATCACTGTTTCTAGTGTTCCTTATGTTTATTTTCAAGGTACGAACCAGAATGTTTTTGGCTAAACTGTCAAAATGATCAGGTGTTATGAATAAAATCTTTCAGCTTTTTCCATTTTCACAATGAATTGTCCATTTTTAAAATTTCTGGTAAAAAGCTGAGGTTATATGTTCTTTTTGTCCTTTGGTCTCTTCCCATAATCTTCCATATCTACTGAGTCTTAGGATTCTACAGAATTTATAGTTGTTTCACACGTTAGAGTATTTGCATACCTCATTTCTATTGCTTAGATCTCTTTCTGGATAAGAAAAATAGTACCTACTATAGATAAATTTCTAATGATGTACTGGACAATGAGATAAATAATATATATGCATTCTCTCTCTTAACATCTGAACTAACTAACCCAAGGAAGTGGAGACTTCCATTATTTTAGAGGACAGATTGAAACATTTCCCCAATATCAGCCAAGTCACGAGCGCCAAAGCTGGGATTCAAATCAGATTTTTTTTGTTTAAATACCCGCACTCTTGAGCACTACTTGAATTTACTCCCCTGCCCCCATAATTTCTGAAAGTAATTTTTTATTTAGCCCAAGTATAACATCTTTTAAAATACAATATGAATACTATTTCCTTAATATCTTCTTAAAAATCTGCCACTTAGAAATGAGTGCAAGGCCATTGTTTGGATTTTTCTTCCTAAGAAGTACATGTTCCTCAATCCTAAACAATAATTTTTCTCTTTGGCAAGCTGATATTTCTCTGTCTAGGTCCCACCTTAATGAAACTGTGACTTCCAGATACCAGCTTCTGCTCCCTAGCAATTCTTCTTGTTTGGAAGCAGAAGAGTCGAAGTTTATCTCCTTCCTTACACTTGATATTGTGCCATTTTCCATTCCCCACCACATCTATTTTTCCTGTATTATCTTGTATTTCATAGATTGTGTTCTTCTTGTTCACTTTTTTCTGGAAAAATAAAATTAACATTCAGTTTCTGAAAACGTAGTAGCTGCCATATATTTGATAGAGACTTTTGTGACAAATCAATACCAAATTTAAGAAGTCAATTACAGGCACAGGCATGCATGTAGTTTTGGTAAGGTCTTCTCAGAGAATCTTATATTGTCCTAATTTTTCCCTTTCATGATCTAGGTGTTTTCTGCCTAATAATTGTAGGACAATGAATTTCTTCCTATTTTCTACTGCTTCCTCCTCAGCATCAGCTTTGATTCCTTGTAATGCACCTGGAAATCAAAGGAATCAGAATTCTCCAGTGGACTTCATGGGCTCCTCTGCTTATTCAGAAACAAATGGACATTTGTTGTGACTATTCAGTCACTCAATAGATTATAGGGAATCTATGGAAAAAGTAAGCTTCTATTAACTCACTAATTCTTATTTGAACCTTCTCTACTTACTTTATCTTTCCCAATTAACACATGTCCCCCAATTCACACTGGATATAGTTTTGTCCACTTAAACTATTAGTCATCAGTTTTACAATTGCATTTATAAGCACAGTCTCTTACAGAATGCATAATAAATTAATGGATATAAAAACTAAGGGTCTAGGGCTTGAGGTGTGGTCTACTAGAAGAAGGGTATATGGTGTTATAAAGCAATATGTCATATAAGTTGTTAGCTGAGTTCATAAAAAGTTATTAATTTTTTATTAATCAAATTCATCATTCTGATACCCTGAATGTGGGTACTGATGTATCAATGAAACTTCTGTATTTCTTTTCTTTTTGTAAATGGGACCATTATGTTACTTTGTCTTCCAAAGACAATGCTATACAATAATTCTCAGTTGTTCAATAATCTTTTCATGAATAATTAATAAATGAATAAAATACAGAAAACAGCACTTTCATGGTTAGACCTACTAGTTGAATGGATAATAGACTAATAGTATTGAATATTTTGAACTCAGGAAAACATAAGCCAATCTATTTATTACTTCAAAAATATGTCACAACCAATATTCAACCTTGTTAGGGCAATCTATTGTTTAGAAAAAAGAAATGGCAGTGACACTAAAAAAATATTAGCCTAAACCTGTTGATTTGTGCCCTATATTGTTCTTGCTCATTTTCGTTGAGGATAGGTGATAATAACTAGTAAATTGAGGTTTCTTGGTGAATCTTTTTGGAAGAACTTTCTTGGAGAATGTTGTAACATCATTTAGTCCTTTTTCTTATTGTGTGGGAAGGCTTCATCTCCTGTTTTTAGTTAAGATAGAGTCCTGGATTCCAATATTCAGTAAGTAGAATTGGACAGGATAAGACATTTAATTCCAGTTGTTGGTGGAGAAAAGGGAAAAAAAGGGGTTACCTTGTGTAACATGAACAACCCATACACCATTGTTCCAGATGCTCCCTTGTAAAGATGATCAATCTTGGGAGTTTCATTTGCTCTTTTGATGACACCATTAGGGACCTCAATCTTTTTGTGACCAGCTTCAAACACAAGTGATGCTTCATTTATCTCCAGGATTCCTTTGTTCTCAAAGCAATTAGTGATCTCAATGATCTTGTTTTTTGTAAACATCTCTTTCAGGTCGACATTGAAAACCTTCACTTGGAAAAACTGGCTTTCAGTAGCCACCGTAGCATGAAACATTCTGCTTTTCACCCCTTCAGAAGACTCAAATTCAAATGGTTCTGTTGCTTTCAGAACCATCACTACCAATGGGCCCTTCATGAGAACACTTCTTCTGGCAGTCGTCTGATTTTGGGCCTGGGTATTCTGATTCTGTGTTGAACAAAAACACAGGGAAATAAACAAACAAAGTTAGCAAGGAATACAAAATCACTCTCCCATGAGAGAAATCTTAATTACTACATGGGCCACAACAACTTTCATGGATATTTAGAGTTAGGACTAAGCTACAGAGGGATTTCTTGGTAGAAAGGAAAGGCTAATGAATTGGTATAGTTTAGTTACAGGTAACAGACCACACACAGAAGTTAGACTATCTGAACCAAGATAGAATAATCTCTCTGAATCAAAGCATGATCCTCAGCATGAATTACACAGAGCATGAGATGATGTGAGCATTTTATGAAATATTTGTGATAGATTATAATATAATAACAAACTGAAATATAACCTTTCCTCACTTAAATGACTAAAGAAAATAAAATAGTGAAAAAAATTTAATTGTGTTGGAAATGGTGAATCGTGGCCATCACAAACCACTCAAAGTATAAAAGTTTTCAGTTATTACTAGATTAGGGCCATTTTGAGGATCCAAGAATTATGGTCTGTCATAAGTGATCACAAAGACATGGGCTCAAAACTGACTATTTAAGTAGGCTCAGGAAGAATTACTCTGAGTTGTGTCCTTTAATGTAGATAGTTTTCCTCAAAAGAAGGGCTTTGGAAATCCAGGAACAGGTTGGTGTACCTCTGGTGTCTTTTCCCCACAGTGCTACGGGTTCACTGAGTTTTAGCAGAGTACTTTAATGGAGAGAAAATCATCTAATCTATGAAAGGAATTTTCTGAGACGGTGATGAACTATGAACTTCATAGGTATGAGCAGACAGAGACATGCTTATTGTCTCCACATACCAAACATGGTGCAAATGATCTGATCTGGTGTTCCCTAGACAGTAACCAACTGTGGGTGATTGGGTTTAACTTCTATCTAACTTTTTAGCAATGTAACAGTGCTAAAACACAACATAAGGAAACTTTTTCAAAAAGCAACATAGTAGCATTAACTCACATATAAGAAAAACATTAGCAACCTCAAGATTCAAATTGATAAGAAAGTTATAGAATATGCATAAGAGAAATTATTCAATAGCCCTGATGGATATAAAAAAGATCCCTAATGAACCAATTGCAATTATATTCATTGTAGAGGCATTGAGGTTGGGAGAGTGGATTGTCAATCCATAGAGAATTATTTTTTTAAAACAATTTCATAGTTTTGGCATGCAAAATTATATAGCCATCAAGAGGTTAATTAAATGAGTATTTGTGTTTTTAATTATGGATTTAGAAAGATAGGTCTGATTTGTTAAATGATTTTAAAAAGCAATAAAACAGTAGTCATTGTAGGATACCATACTGAGAAAACTTATTTCATTACTATATATGATTATGAAGAAAAACACCTGAAAAATTTTACCTGATCGGTAAGATTTCAGGTAATTAAAATTAATTATGTTTTTGTTTTTCCTTGACTGGCCTGATGTAAGCATTTTCTCCAGTTCTTAATCAATCATGTATCAGATGTATGGAAAGTGAGAGAGAGAGAGAGAGAGAGAGAGAGAGAGAGAGAGCTGATAGTGTAAAGTGTTGTAATTGTCCTTCTGTGATCTATGAACTATAATTGCTCTCCTTTAATGAATATTTAGGAAAAAACTCCCTTCTCAAGAATAAGGATCATTAGATTTTTCATGTGATAGTAGACTGACACTGATGCCAAATATAAAAAATTGACAAGTTCAGTTCAAAAGTAGTACCATCTAATAAGAATGAGCATGGGATAGTAAGTTTTATGGCTTTTCCTCTGCCTGCATTTCCTCAAATTCATCAACTTCTCATCCTATTTACTCTTCAGGGCAAATCCTTGAATGTATCCCATAACCTTCATTTGTCCTTCACTAGCTCTGCTGATTTATATTTCAGTACTTCTAGTCACTCACAGGAAACTGGTTTATAGAGGTCTACAGGACCAACAGAGTAGTTGAAACTTACAACACACAGTAAACTGGGAAGATAAATATTTATTAGTTATAATTGTCATAACTGGTGAGAAAAAATGAGGTCCTATCTAAGTGAATACTTGGTCTGGAGGGGATTTCAAGAAGGATCTCCTGAAGACAGGATATCAATATTGGGATTCAGAGGGTGAAGTTGTGGAAATATAAGGACTGGAGGAAATATATGGTTGTGAAAACTCTTCAAGAAGAAAGTAACATGATGTGTGCACATTGAAGAAATTTCACAGATTAGTGTCTAATTTGTGAATTTATTGCTGTTTATATCCACGTGAACAAAAAACTTCCTGCTGTCAGAAATAATGTCACATTAATGAAGAATCCCTATGGAAGCTGAAGGTTAAGATGGAGTGAATCTCCTTTTTCTCTCCCTCTCCTTTCTCTCTCTTTATATCTCTACTATATGCATGTGTATCTGATTGATTATGTATTGGCATTATTTTCAAAGTTGGGAATGAAATCAGAATTTCAAGGTCCAATTCCTATTTTTGGGTTAAAAATGGAAAGGGGAACGGAACAGAAAGCATGTACCTCAGTTGAGGAAGTGCTGGATGGAGCTGATGATGAAACCTGGGGAAGTGAGGATTGGCCCATGGCTGTAGATGTGCTAGCTTGTGCAGGACCAGGAAGATGAGCCTGCTCCTCAAGCACCTTCTTCTTTTTGGTTCCAGTCTTTTCTTTATTTTCACTTTTTCTTTTCTGAAAGGAGTTTAATTTTCTTGTTAATGATTCTCAGTATGAAATGAAGTAGAGCACATCTTCATTATCGGGTAGTATGTTTATTATATCTAAACATATTTCCAGCATGTTTCATTAAATCTAGGGAGAGAAAAATGTTGCATACATTGTCCCTCTATAGTTACTTCTGCGGTGAGATGTTACTGACTTGGGATTAGAAAGACTAGATTTTTTGTAAACAAAGACAAAGCATTTTAATACCTGATTTTTAAGTCAACATCTTATCTATTAGGGATGAAGATATGTTTGTCATATGATTAGTTGTTGTGCAGTTTGGTAAATCTAAAACTTAATGGAAAATTGATGGAGAATTAAGTGCTTGATAGGTTGAGTGGAAGAGTCAGGACAGAGTTTCTTTTGTGAGAACTCAAGCCTTCTTATCTTTTGCAACCTTACCTGAGTTTTGGGAGTCTCCTCCACTCCTGCTGTGAGAGTGTTGCTTGTGGTAGATGTAGGTATAGCAGAACGTACTTCTTGCTTATTTTTTTTCATTGTTGCTTTCCCTTTTGCTGGGATGGGTTTGATTTTCATCACAACAAATACATAAAAAAGGAATACATATAAACAGAGACCAAATACCAGATATAGTCTAGGACTGTTGGAGCAGTTTTAGTATCATATGCTTTCAGTTTTGGGTGTGTCTAGTATCCTGGCTTCTACCTCTATGTTATTATTTCAGCCTGGCTGCAGAGATTATTGGCTATGCATGGTGTGGCACGGCCTCGTGCTCCTCACTGTTTCTCCTACTCATCCGCCATTCAGCAAGCAAATTCTTCCTGTCCTGAATCCCATGTACCACAGTCAAGTCCTTCCAAATTCTGTTGTTCTGCTCACTGGCTAGTCATATTTTCTATATAATTCATTAAAATTACAGAAACTTGTGAAAGGAAATATGAATTCAATTTGTGAAGATATAACTATAGTGATTATGAATTTTGACTTTGTAAAATATTTTTAACTCAGTAATTTTTATAAGAGAGGAAGATCTTTATGTCTCTTTGAGGTCAATTTATATTAAAATATTGCCTTAATGTGTGAAAGTTCAGCTCAGTCCTGAGCAGTCATTCAGGGTCCAGTCCTGTCTGGTCTCTAGACATTTCTAAGATATAAGCAAATTTCTTTGTATGAGAGTTCTACTGATCTTCTAAAAGGTGATATCTCACGTGTTTTCACCATCCTGTTCTTGATTTGTACACACGTATAGTGCAGCCATAAGGGTGGTTTTGTCCACAAACAAATACCTTGACCACCCATGATGGCAAACCCAGCAGTAGGACAGTCCTTTCTTACATCTGCTCTGCAGGACCTGGTCAGGTGTGACCAACCACCCATGCCAGCCCTTTGCATGGCCTTCTGTGGCCTGCCTCTTGGGGCAGACCCAGGGGCTTTGCTGGTGCCTACACTTGGTTGCATGCAGAGAGGACAGATGTTACTGCCTTGGCATCACGCCTGTGGCTACAGAAGCTGTGATGAACATTGAGGGTTAAAACATCTGTACTGTGATTGTCTCCCAGTCACTCCAAGTTTTACAACTCAGCATTCTGGTTTAGCTGTGACACAGGATCTACTGTAGCTGACTTTTGTTGGTATTATAACATGGAATTTCCTACACTTTGTGCACCTCGGTCTTAATAGTAATTCCCTTCTGTGCCCAAATGTAGATGTGCGTCCCCGGCATCCACAGTGCGCATTTGTGGTCAGAGCTGTGAGGAGCCGGCCCTGCGGTCCTGGTACCGTCCTGAGTCGCTTTGATGAATATGTGGCACATTCGTTCACTTACGTGCTTCTGTGAGAGATGGCTCCATGTGACCAATGTTCCCGACTTTAATTTTTAAAAGAGTGCTTTTAACCCTTGAAGACAAAATCCATCTTGTTTTGTATATAAGAATTGTTTTTTAAAATGAATAAATCAGACACTGCCCACAAAAAATATTGCCCTATCTTTGTTACTAAGGAGAATAATAATGATTATATAGTCTTAAAAGAATAGGTGAAGCAATTGGCTAGTGGTTATATTTAGCATATAAACTGTAATTTTTTATAATTTTAAAAATTAACTTCCATATTGTACCTGAAGTTTTAGACTTTCAACTTCTTTTTTATATATATTTTTTATCCACACACCAAATAAACCCTTCAAAATACAACCATTCACTGGTAGGTAGATGAAAACCATAAATTGACAACTTGGAATCTGAAATACCCACATTGTCATGTACACTGAGTTATAATTGGGATGCATTGACTATGATCAAGGCAGGGTTCAAAGTTTGGAGGGTGAAAAGAGGGTAGGACAGTATCAGGGAGAGAGTTTTTCTTGTTCTCTATTACCTTTTGACTTCTCATCTTTAAGAGTTACAGCAACTGTTTCAAGTGTTGGTATCTCTTTGAACAATGCAATCAATTTGCTCAAACCAGCATCACTTCGAAACTTATCTTCCATCAAGTCAGCAATCTTAACTCTGTCGTATTCATCTTGCATTCTTCTGGTCAGTTTTAAATCACTGGCCAGTAAGGACTTAAGTAAGCTAAACTGATACTCAGTGATGACTGCTAATCCTTTAAGCAGAACAATTTTCTTGTATTCATTCACCATCTCTCAAATTATTGATGAACCTATAGAGAAAATCAGCATATGGTATGACACATGTGTACAGAAATTTTAAAAAAGGGATATACCTATGTGAGTACCTCATGTCAAAGTGTTGTATACAGGTGTGTTTGGAACAAAGAGGGAGTTTAGTCATGAGTTATATCATTTGCAATATTGCTTGTGAATTATTGCATTAGGAAGATCTAAAAAAATTCTTTTGTATTAATGACGGTAGTTGAGTTGGGTCAGTGGTGGGCATGGTAGAAGAAGTTCTGGAAAGAGGCAATTGTTGCAGTATTTAGAGTATGGGCTGTGTAGTGCCTAAGCTCCTGGCTCCTCTTCCATTCCACAGGGGCTAGAATAATTTTCTGCATTTCTTTCCATTGGTACCTAACTTCCCACACCCACTAAGACTTGTATGGCATATGCACAAAATGGGAGGCTGCTTCTAACTTTATATGTGAAAAACCTTATGCCACAGCACTACAGTTCCATCTTGGGGTACTCATCTTTTTCCATTTAGCTCTTCTACAGTCATCTGTAATTAATACCCTCTCTCTTGGTGTTAGATAGCATCTTTCATATTCTTAGTATCCATGTCACTGTCCCTTTGCTGGAGTGCTACCTGTTCCCTAATGCAGAATCAAAGCATTAATTGATTGGAATCTTTTCAATAGTTACTCAATTTTCCTCCATCCAAGCTTAGTTTCTTCGACCAGTTATTTTCATAGATTCAGTTATCTCTCTATAATTTCTACCCTCCTTGAAATCATTGAATAATTCCCCATTTTCTGTGGGAAAATTTTCTTGCTTTTCAGCCTGTTGTAGAAGGCCTTCAATAACCTGTCTCAGTTTTAACTCTCATTTTCCATTTCTTATATATAAACTCCAGAATTATATCCCATATCTTCCTTTCTCATGTCTCTGCAGTGAATATCTTTTCTACCTTTAATATTGAAAGGTAGATCTTAAGAGGGCATGGGCTTCATGAAATTACTAAATGTAATGGGTACAATGTTCTTGCTTGATAAGAAGAAAAAGTTCTGGTATTCTATGACACAGCAAGGTGAATATAATTAAGAATAATGCATTATATAACTCAAAGTAATTAAAAGAGTGGAATTTGAGTGTGCTCACCAAAAACAAATGATAAAAGTTTAAAATGATGGATATGTTAATACTTTGTGTTGGTCTCACATCCAATGTATACAAAAGTCAAAGCACCATGTGGTACTTCACACATAAACATGTACAAATATTTTCAAAGATTCTGCTATGTTATCAATTATAACAAAAGTCTCAGCCTGAAGCCAATCATGTGGAATCCCTTATACTTGATCAATTTAAACAGAATGTCCAAAACTCTGAATATAATGAGAATCATTATTTGTGAAAAATCACACTTTTTACAATCCCCCTCCAAAATACATCCTTAAAACATTCATCCATGGAGCAGAATATGAATGTTAGAAACTTAGGCTTGGAGTTAAGAAGACCTGGCTCCTACGCATAGCAGTTTGGTTATATAGATCAATAGATATATCTAGAATATAAATTACTGATTTGTAAGATATAATTGAAAACTTTTCCACAAGGAATTAGAGGGGGATTAATAAATAGAATACATAAAACAAAATTCCATATACATCAAAATACAGGCTAAAATGTCAGTGTCCACATATTAGTTGTAGCAAGAAGAAAACTAAAATTTAAAAAGTGAAAATATTTGAAAAACTAAGATAAACTTCTCAGAAATAAAATAACACAAATGTTCTCAGATTGTTCACAATAATAGACTTCCAAATAGAAGTATAAAAGGCAAACCGCACCAAGACACAGTTCAGAGAAAAGAAAACTCCAGCGATAAAGTGTGGTCTTCTACAAAGTTTCAATAATGAGATTCTAGACAGTAAAATACACTGGGTCAGCAAGACATTTTTGTTCACCCTGAACAAAAACAACTAGAAAGCTAAATAGCAATGGGATGGCACAAGACTATAATTATTAACCAATAGAAACAGTGAAGCAAAAATTGGAGAATAACTTTACAGAAGTGATTCATGGGGAGATCAGCACATCCAAGACAGCTGAAGATAGTTAGAAATAAAGAGGGAATGAGGGCTGTTAGGATCTGGCTATATGAAGGGCTTCACTGAAGTCCCCAGGGTGCTTCTTAGCAGAAGACTGACAACTCTTGCCACTGAGTAACTGACTTCAAAACATACTACAGCACCTATCTCAGTGGTAGAATGCTCGCCTTGGAGTATGAAAGAACCTGGGTTTGATACACAGCACTGAAAAACAAAACAAAACAAAAATACTATAAATCTGTAGTTGCTAAAAAAGCATGGCACTGGCACATAAACAGACACATAGACCAATGGAACAGAGTAGAGAACCTAGAAATTAATCTATACTCATACGCCATCTGGTTTTTGACAAAGAGGCCAAGAATATCCACTGAAGAAAAAGTCTTTTCAACAAATGGTGTTGGTAAAATTAGACATAGATATGAAGAGGAATGAAACTAGATTCTTTCACCACACACAAAAATCAACTCAAAATGCATCAGATGCTAAAATATTAAGGCTGAAACTGTGAAATTAACATAAGAAAACATAGGTGAAATACTTTAAGTAATTGAAGTAGGCAACATTTTTTTAGATAGGACTCCCGAATCATGGGCAATGAAAATAAAATTAGACAAATGGTATTACACCAAACTAACAGACTTTTGTATGATAAAGGAAACAATTAAAAGAATTAAGAGACAACATAAAGAATGGGGGAAAATATTTGGAAATAGCATATCTGATGGGGAACTGACATCCTGAATATATAAGGAATGTAAAAAGCTGAGCACCAATAAAAACCAAACAAACCAATTTAAAAATGGGCTAAAGAACTAAATAGATACTTCTTAAAAGAAGACAAAAATGCATGAAAAAATGTTCAATTTCACTAATCATCAAAGAAAAATAAATCAAAACCATAATGAAATATCCTACCCTAGCTAGAATGGCTATCATGAAAAAAGACAAGAAATAACAAATGCTGGAGGGGATGTGGAGAAATGGGAAGTTCTATACACTGTAGGTTAGAATGTAAATTATTACAGTCAATACAGAAAGCAGCAAGAAAATTCTTCAGAATCCTAAAAGTAGAATTATTGTACAATCCAGTAATTCCATTATTGACTACATGATAAATATAGATGTATCATCATGACTAGATGATAAAATATTTATACCACAAGATACTTGCATTTCATGTTTATGGCACAACTATTCACAACAGTTAAAATACCAAATCAACTCAGATGTCCTTTAGTGGTTAAAAAGGTAAAGAAAAAACTGTGATATATACACACGATAGAATGCTATTTAGCCATAAAAAGAATGAAATCTGGTCATTTGTAGCAACATGGATGAACCTGGAGATAATAATGCTAAGTGAAACAAGCCAAGGAAGTGAAACTTGTTGAAGAATGAAATGAAACTGTGGGCACAAGAGGTGAGGAAGGGTGGAAAGAAATTCAACAAAGGGCACAAAAACACAAAGTAGAGGAATTACTCTGGGTTCTTCTTTAGAACAGGTGGGGGTAACGATTGGGCAAAGCAATCAGTGATATATTTCTAAATGTTTGGAAGAGCATGACATTTACAAAACAAAAATTATTAATGGTCTGAGATGGAAGAGATGGAAATACTTATTACCCTGATTTGACTAAAGCACAGTGTATGCATGTGTTGAAATACTATATTGTACCACAAAAATATATACAATTAAAAAGTTTAAGAATTGGTAAAATTTTTAAAAATCCAACAAAGAGGCAAAGTTTTAAAAAGTGGATTTAAAAAATTTACCTATACATTATGACAAAAAGTCATTAGAAGTTTAAAAAATAACTAGCACAGTTTGATGGTGAAAGCAGTAATTTAAAGAAAGCAGTGTATCTCTGTTAACATAATTATAAAGAGACCTTTAAAAAGTTTATCATAACTGAAGTTTCATTATTTAATAATAAAAAAGATTTAAGCTCAAGAAAAATGAAACAGTTCTTGTTACATATTTACTTCATAGTAATAAGTAGATGTTGTTATAATTGTGTTTCTTCCTATGACTGTAGGAAGTAATACATATATATGTGTATATATATATAACATAGTATATTTATTTCTTCTTTTCTACATATACATATACAAAAATGCTAATGGAAATTTAAACAACTATAAAAAACTAACAAATCATAATTTTAGTTTGAGATTTTAGCATGTCTCAATTATTGAGGAGAGCAAGAAAAAATGTAGAAAAAAACAACACAGTTAACAAGCTTAAATAAAAAGTTTTACCTAACATTCAGAGCATTTGGCAACCAATATTAAAAGCTTTACACGCCTTTAAGAAACATAAGAAATATTCATGTGCCAGGCTCCATGAAAAGATAATGTGTCCAAATGACAGCTACAGATTTAATTGTTTTCAACTACTGCTTTCCTATGAACTCTTCTTGCAAACTGCACTGCTGAGGTGGAATAAAGCAAGGAGAGGTTCACATATGACTGAAATACTGTGTCTAACACTAAGTATAGAGGGGAGCTAACGTAAAAGTTAAACATCCTTGTGAAAATATTAAGATAGCTATGTATTAGACATTTTCTACTATGGGTATGTATTCTCATGTTGGTAAAAGTGTGACAATACAAAACAATTTTATGTCAAGATGTCATTTTAGCTTATTAGTTCATGATAACTTTTTTGTTTCACTAACTTGTCTTTTACCCATAGTGTTACCACAGACACCAGGGTTTCTGTGAACTCTCCAGCCAAGACAACCACTTATGTAAATTCATCCTCAAAGAATTTATTTTCAAACCAAAGTAGTCGAAATACATTTCCCTTTGCTCAGGTCTCAGTGGTAGAGGAATTCAGATGTATGTTATCTTCCTAAATGAAGCACCAGAATCAAACTACTGCAGTTTTCACTGTTCTGAGTTAACACCAGTCTCACTCCCTTTGCTCATCATCAAAAAGAAGCAACACTGGTTTTCTCTGGTGGACTTGTAGATTGCAAGAGGTGTCAGGTCTTCTCTACAGAAGACAATGGCAGCACTCACCTCCCTGACAATTTCTTCAGCTGTGTCCAGATCTTCAGATTGTCAGCAATGCAGGAAGCAGGACTGATTTTGTTTGAGTAAGAAGATAAGTTAGTAAGGCTCTCAGAAACTGAACAGCAGGATGCTGCAATCTCCTGAAATTCTAAAAAAAGTCAGTATTTGCAAAGATAACAGGAAATGGCACTGGTTATAGTCACTTAACAACTTCACCAGTGCTGGGGCTCTGAGACTGTGCTAGCTCCCTGGGTGGAAGAGTGAGGAAATTGTGTGAACTCCTCCCATCAATGTTCATAGCTTTCAGTTTCCTCATCTGTAGAGACTGAACAATTTGCTTCCTATAAGCATCTTAGTTACCAGGAAACATTAGGTATCAGTTACATTCATTTTTTTTCCTTACAAATCTCAATAGATAAAAGAAGTTTAAACATCACAACTTTTATATCAGCAGGTTTACCCTTGGTTTATTAGACATAAAACCCACTGAAATGAGACTGAAATATCAAAGAAAGGGGAAATGAGTCCTCCAGCTAAGTCCCCCTATTTTCTGTTCACAGAGTGGCAGGGTCAGAAGGAGATCTTTTACTACCAGTGATCCACTTGTTGAAGAAAGTCTATTGTGAAGTTGTATCTTTTTGTTTTCAGAGTTTCTTTTATACTTTTTATTATTTTATTTTTTATTGTTTATTCATTTATTCATATGTGCATACATTGTTTGGGCCATCTCTCCTCCCTGTCCCCTATCTCCTTCCTTCTCCCCCACCCTGCTTACTTCCAGGCAGAATCTGTTCTGCCTTCTTCTTCAATGTTGTTGAAGAGAAAACATAAGAGATAATAAGAAAGTCATAGCACTTTTGCTAGCTTGAATTAAAGATAACTATATAGAGAGATTCCTAGAATTGCTTCCATGCACATGTGTACTACAACCTGAACTGGTTCATCTCTACCAGACCTCTACACTATTTCCCAGTCACCTTCCCATAGTGCTTCTGTCAGTTTAATATTATTTTATTAGCTCATCTACAGTGGGCACATCAAACACTTTCAAGTTTTGGGTTTCTTACCTTTCCCTATTCATCCTATATGTGTTTTCCCCTTAGTGTGTGACCCATGTTCAATAATATCACTGCATTTATAATAGGTCTAAAGTCTGCATATGAAGGAGAATGTACAATTTTTAGCCTTATGAGCCTGGCTAACTTTGCTTAAGATGATATTCTCCAGTTTCATCCATTTACTTGCAAATTACAAAATTTCATTCTTCTTTGTGGCTGAGTAAAATTCCATTGTGTATAAATACCACATTTTCTTAATCCATTCTTCAATAGTGGGGCATCTTAGCTTTTTCCATAATTTGGCTATTGTGAATACTGCTGCAATAAACATGGGTGTGCAGGTGCCTCTGGAGTAACCTAAGTCGCATTCCTTTGGGTATAACCCCAGGAGTGGGATTGCTGGATCATATGGCAGATCTATATTTAGTTTTTTAAGAAGGCTCCATAATGTTTTCCAGAGTGGTTGTACTAGCTTGCATTCCCATCAGCAGTGTACGAGGATTCCTTTTGCCCCACATTCTGGCCAACATTTATTGTTGGTGGTGTTTTTGGTGATAGCTATTCTAACAGGAGTGAGATAGAATCTTAGTGTGGTTTTGATTTGCATTTCCTTTATGGCCAGGGATGGTGAGCATTTTTTCATGTTTTTTTTTTTTTTGACATTTGGATTTCTTCCTTTGAAAGAAGTTTAGTTCAGTTGCTCACTTCTTTATTATTGGTTCATTGATTTGAGTTTAGTTTTTTGACAAGGGTGCCCACTCTCTCCACTCCTATTCAACATAGTCCTGGAATTCCTAGCCAGCATAATAAAGCAAGATGAAGAAATAAAAGGAATACAGATAGGTAAAGAAACTGTCAAAGTATCCCTATTTGTAGACGACATGATCCTATACCTCAAAGACCCAAAAAACTCTACCGCAAAACTCCTAGACACCATTAACAGCTTCAGCAATGTGGCAAGATACATAATCAGCTTAAAAAATCATTAGCTTTTCTATATACCAACAATGAACAAATTGAGAAAGTATATATGAAAACAATTCCATTTAGAATAGCCTCAAAAAAAATCAAATACCTAGGAATAAACTTAACAAAGAATGTGAATGACCGCTATAAGGAAAACTACAAATCTCTGAAGAAAGAGATCGAGGAAGACTACAGAGGGTGGAAAGATCTCCTGTGCTTATGGATTGGTAGAAATGGCTATACTACCAAAAGCAATCTACATGTTCAATGCATTTTCATCAAAACTCCAGTGACATTCATCACAGAGATAGAAAAATCTACCCTAAAGTTCATTTGGAAACACAAGAGACCATGAGTAGCCAAGGCAACACTCAGCAAAAAGAGCAATGCTGGAAGTATCACAATACCTGAGTTCAAACTATATTACAGAGCCATAGCAATAAAAACAGCATGGTACTGGCACAGAAACAAATATGAAGACCAGTGGAACAGACTAGAGGACTGGATATGAATCCACACAGCTATGCCCACCATATTTTTGACAAAGGCACCAAAAACATGATGGAGAAAAGACAGCCTCTTCAACAAATGTTGAAGCTGGGAAAAGTGGTTATTTGCCTGCAGAAAACTGAAACTAGATCCATGTCTATCACCTTGTACTAGTATCTACTAAAAATGGATTAAGGACCTTAATATCAGATGACCTGAAACTCTGAAGTTAGTACAGGAAAGAGCAGGGAATACTCCGGAAGCAATAGGTATAGGCGAGGACTTCCTCAGTAGAATTCCAGCAGCCCAGCAACTTACAGAAAGGATGGACAAATGGAACTACATGAAATTAAAAAGCTCTATACAACAAAAGAAATGGTCTCTAAACTGAAGAGACCACCCATAGAGTAGGTGAAAATATTTGCTGGTTATACATCAGACAAAGGACTGATAACCAGAGTATACAGTGAAGTTGTTGCTTTCAGCACTCTGTGGCATTCACATAGTTATTAATAGTCCACATAATTGAAGGGTAATATAAGCATAATGCCTATATTTATATGAAAATTCTTTCTAGAGTATTTGGAAAATAATTTGAACCAGTATTTTCCTCTTTTCTATGGCTAACATCCATTATTTCTCTGTGTGAATTTCATATATACATCTGGCTCTTAGAATTATTCACAGAAAATACAAATGAGCAATGGCCCTATATCAGCATACCTTTCGTTCTTCAATTTCTGAAAAAAAATAAGCACTGCAACTTAGAAGGATTGTAAGCTATAAGCATTTTTCTGAATTTTATTTTACTATTTAGGACAATGGATCCATTCTGAACAACCACACCTCTACTGGCTGATCTGGAAGAAGGAAGGGCATAAATGGAACAAGAATCCCAAAGACCACTGAAATGTGTTAGATGATTTGAGGTCATCTGAAGGGAAGAAAACTGATTGGGCTAATTCAAACTAAGTTTGTGGTGGGGAGAGTTGATGTCTAGATTGAAAACTGTCTTACTACACAGGAAAAATATCAGGGAAATCAAGGAGGATTTGGACTGTCACAAACCCCTGTGTTTTTTTATTATTTGTTATGACAGACTTACTGCTACTTATGTAGACACATTGAGCTATCTAAAAAGGCACAGGGTTAGTAAAATCCTAGAGGATCCTAATCCAGAGACAAGTAGGCAAAGGATGCACAACAGGAATGTCCATGTTTTTGGACATTTTTAGTGTCCTTTTTACAAGAAATCAACTTATGTGAAATGATATATCTCTTGGTTCTCCAGAAGACAACACACAAGTTATTGATCCTCCAAAGGAGAAATCAGATTAGTGTTTCCATATCCTCCTATACAGTTGGGATTTTTATAGATATGGAAAATAGGAAAAAATGCATTTTCCTGACTCTTAGGCAATAGCCAAATAATAAATTATTCTTGTCATCATAGAGATAAAATATGTACATATAGCCTTCATCACTTCTGGAACCCCAGTGTTCTTTCAGAATTTGCAAAGTTCATTGCAAAAAATGATAAAAACTATTTACTCATAACTGGGAAGTAAAAGAATTCCTAATATTATATGAAATGTTTCAAAAGATCTTATGCTCTCCTATTCTCTCAAGTACTTCTCTAAATGGTCATTCAAAGACATCAGTAAAGACTTTCCACCAGGATTATATCTTATGTCTTTAGTTTAGATTTTCCTAAGAAAAAAGCTGGAACAAATACAATGGTTACACCAAGTAGAACAATTTCAATAAGAAATGTGTCATAGCCTTTAATTTTTATATTAGAACCAAGGGTAAAGGTAGAGGAATATGATAGGAAGTGTCAGAGGAGAAAATGGAAGGTGAGAATATGTTGAGTATAGTCTAAACTAAAGTTTTGTTCACCTGCTTTTTCCAAAGCCCAGAAAAATCTAGTAGTGTGTGAGTCTGAGCTTCCCAAGTTGATCTGGGCACTCATCAAGTGATCAGACACCTCATATCTCTTACAAAAACTTTTTGACTGATTTTTTATAGGTTTTTTTATTTGAGTACACTATTACGTATTACTTCCATCTTTTTTTCTAGTGTTATAAGATGTAAATTTAAATCAGTTATATTACTATTATCTTCATTTGTAGTATAAACACTTAAAGGAGTAATTTTTCCTGTAGACACTGCCACCTCCTGTGTTCTTTAAATTTTATGGGGTTTGTATTTATTGTCTGTAATCTTTCTTGGCATGTAGTTTTCAATGGATGTACTATTTTAAATTGTGTTATATAATTTTTTAAACGTTGAGCATTTTCTTAGCATTTAATCTTTAATTCTAAATTAATTATGTAGTTTTATAATCTGTGCTAAAATTTCAGATAAGAACTTTACTGAAACTCATTGTTAAGTCCCTGCATATATTTCACTTTGATGAGCATTCTGTGTATTCTTGTAGAGAACATGCAGTTCTCAGATGTTTTCACACAGTTCTGAAAATGAAAATTAGGTCATGTTGGTTGAAGATAGTGTGAAAGTTTTTCAGTATTCTTTCTGATGTTTTCTTGTTCCAACTAGCAATATTGAATTAGAAGTTTTAAGTATCTAATTGTGATTATTGATACTTGTCATATTCCTTTATATGTTGTTGTTTTTTGCTTTATGATTTTGAAGCCCTGTAACTAGGTACATTTATGGATTGCTACGGATCTCTGACATATTGTTCAAAGTATT